GCTCTTGTAGGTTACAACCCATATAACATGCACGTGTCAAGAGTGTAAAACCAATATAAAAGAATATCTTACAATTTTACGATAAAAAATTAATATCAAATACTAATCTGACACCTTTTATAAGTTTACTAATTAACTGCAAGTATACGAAGAGTCTGCAAATGGATTGAATCGAGGTCTTCCCGGTGGAGGTTGATGAGAAGTCATCTCATTGCTATGTGAGCTCATCTATTGTTAAAGCTTGAGATGAATATTGACCAAGAATGAAATATGCTATTGAATTGTGACTATTACTATTAGTTATGTTATAAATAGATTATAAGTCAAATCAGTTTAAATGTCACTAGAACTTATTAGAGAAACAATATTTTATCATTGTGTTAAACCCAAAAAATTAAAGTTTCGGCTTGGACACAAGTGACATGCCTAACGCAATTTCCATGGACTGTGAATATGTGAGGCATACAAGTGTATGTGCTTTATAGCAGTTTGAGTCTGATGACATTAGGATATACTTTCTTTAGTTTGTTTCTTCTCAGAACCAAAGTTGGTTCTGATAAGAAATGATATTCCAATAAAAGAAATATAATTGGGTGATTGACTTATTAATCAAATTTGCCTGTCATCTCTTGTCTGTACTAGTTTTAATCCAATTGTCTTCCCGAATTCAATTCTTCCAGCTCCCATTTCCCTCATCTCCTCTTTCGTCAAATTTCTTCTCTTCTATAATGATATGTAGGAAAATATTCCCCATGGATATACATTATATTGTGAACAGATAACCAAAATTTTACTGCACTAATTTTTCATTTTCCCCATACTCTCGTGGTTCTTTTGTATTATATCAGTTATAGCAAGACAGACATGTTTATGTTCAAATCAGGTACCGTTTGGCAAAGGGTTAAGTGAGGGGTTAAGGAGACTTAACCCTTTCTTAACCTGCCAAACACAACAAATCTATATAAGGGTTAAAGTGAGTTAACCCTCCATAATTTGCCAAACATAAAAAATATAGAAGGGTTAAGTTAACCCCTCTAGAGGGGTTAAAATGAGTTAACCCCTCAAAATGAGGGGTTTACTAATACTCCTATTTAGATGGAATAAGAGTTAACCCTTCTAATTATAAAGAAAATAGTCAAAATCATTGTTATTCCCAAACACTAAAACTGATCATAAGGGCTAAAATAAAACTTATTTAACGGGTTAATAATTTAGTCCTTCGGATTATCAAATGGGTTAAGTACATTAATCCTTCTCTTTAACCCCTCTTCATTAACCCTTTGCCAAACGGGGCCTAAGGAATTAACTAATCTTTAAGACTGTAACAGTGCCAGAGTATAGTAGTTGTATCCTGCTTACAAAATCAATATTACTTCATTCAGACATTTTAACAAACCTATATTAATTATCTATCTGCAGATAGATCACCAATCTCTCTGTTTTTTCTTGCTCTGGTGAAATGATTCTGCTTCCTTTTACATGAGGTTATTTCTCTGCTTTGTTCAAGTATTTTGATGAATTTATCCCTGGAAACCGTGTGGATATATCGACGAATATCTAAATTCTAAATACACTATGAAAATCAGATTTTTATTCTTTCTCTTGCTAAGCAATTTCTCTTTTCTGCTTTTAAACCCTTTCCGGGTGCCACACCTGACGATAAAAAGAATAGGGCTAATTGCACATAGACCCCCAGTAGTTCATTGATTTGATATTACTGCCTCTGTAGTTCCATTGCTGCAGATGGCCTGGGTTAATTTTTTTTTCTGGCTACTTACCCTTGATGAAATGTTGGCAGGTATAGCCCCAGGATGAAGTTAGTGAGTTGAGTGAAGCTAACGAGTCAAAAAAAATATTAACTCGGACAGGGGTAGTAAGTCTAAAACAGCGAAGCAACAGGGGTCTATGTGCAATTAACCCTTAATGATAAACTCAATAACATTACTAATAGCTTAAATTGTTAACAGGTGATAGATTGGATGGAGAAAAGAGGTTTCGGCATCAACGAAAGCATCCAGCTCTTGTAGGTTACAACCCATATAACATGCACGTGTCAAGAGTGTAAAACCAATATAAAAGAATATCTTACAATTTTACGATAAAAAATTAATATCAAATACTAATCTGACACCTTTTATAAGTTTACTAATTAACTGCAAGTATACGAAGAGTCTGCAAATGGATTGAATCGAGGTCTTCCCGGTGGAGGTTGATGAGAAGTCATCTCATTGCTATGTGAGCTCATCTATTGTTAAAGCTTGAGATGAATATTGACCAAGAATGAAATATGCTATTGAATTGTGACTATTACTATTAGTTATGTTATAAATAGATTATAAGTCAAATCAGTTTAAATGTCACTAGAACTTATTAGAGAAACAATATTTTATCATTGTGTTAAACCCAAAAAATTAAAGTTTCGGCTTGGACACAAGTGACATGCCTAACGCAATTTCCATGGACTGTGAATATGTGAGGCATACAAGTGTATGTGCTTTATAGCAGTTTGAGTCTGATGACATTAGGATATACTTTCTTTAGTTTGTTTCTTCTCAGAACCAAAGTTGGTTCTGATAAGAAATGATATTCCAATAAAAGAAATATAATTGGGTGATTGACTTATTAATCAAATTTGCCTGTCATCTCTTGTCTGTACTAGTTTTAATCCAATTGTCTTCCCGAATTCAATTCTTCCAGCTCCCATTTCCCTCATCTCCTCTTTCGTCAAATTTCTTCTCTTCTATAATGATATGTAGGAAAATATTCCCCATGGATATACATTATATTGTGAACAGATAACCAAAATTTTACTGCACTAATTTTTCATTTTCCCCATACTCTCGTGGTTCTTTTGTATTATATCAGTTATAGCAAGACAGACATGTTTATGTTCAAATCAGGTACCGTTTGGCAAAGGGTTAAGTGAGGGGTTAAGGAGACTTAACCCTTTCTTAACCTGCCAAACACAACAAATCTATATAAGGGTTAAAGTGAGTTAACCCTCCATAATTTGCCAAACATAAAAAATATAGAAGGGTTAAGTTAACCCCTCTAGAGGGGTTAAAATGAGTTAACCCCTCAAAATGAGGGGTTTACTAATACTCCTATTTAGATGGAATAAGAGTTAACCCTTCTAATTATAAAGAAAATAGTCAAAATCATTGTTATTCCCAAACACTAAAACTGATCATAAGGGCTAAAATAAAACTTATTTAACGGGTTAATAATTTAGTCCTTCGGATTATCAAATGGGTTAAGTACATTAATCCTTCTCTTTAACCCCTCTTCATTAACCCTTTGCCAAACGGGGCCTAAGGAATTAACTAATCTTTAAGACTGTAACAGTGCCAGAGTATAGTAGTTGTATCCTGCTTACAAAATCAATATTACTTCATTCAGACATTTTAACAAACCTATATTAATTATCTATCTGCAGATAGATCACCAATCTCTCTGTTTTTTCTTGCTCTGGTGAAATGATTCTGCTTCCTTTTACATGAGGTTATTTCTCTGCTTTGTTCAAGTATTTTGATGAATTTATCCCTGGAAACCGTGTGGATATATCGACGAATATCTAAATTCTAAATACACTATGAAAATCAGATTTTTATTCTTTCTCTTGCTAAGCAATTTCTCTTTTCTGCTTTTAAACCCTTTCCGGGTGCCACACCTGACGATAAAAAGAATAGGGCTAATTGCACATAGACCCCCAGTAGTTCATTGATTTGATATTACTGCCTCTGTAGTTCCATTGCTGCAGATGGCCTGGGTTAATTTTTTTTTCTGGCTACTTACCCTTGATGAAATGTTGGCAGGTATAGCCCCAGGATGAAGTTAGTGAGTTGAGTGAAGCTAACGAGTCAAAAAAAATATTAACTCGGACAGGGGTAGTAAGTCTAAAACAGCGAAGCAACAGGGGTCTATGTGCAATTAACCCTTAATGATAAACTCAATAACATTACTAATAGCTTAAATTGTTAACAGGTGATAGATTGGATGGAGAAAAGAGGTTTCGGCATCAACGAAAGCATCCATGCAATGCGCCTAGATCTTATAGCCAAATCCAAAACCCCAGAAATCGCCGAGAAATACTTCTCCAAACTCCCTGAACTAGCAAAGAATCAGTTTACATATGGAGCTCTTTTAAACATCTATTGCCAAGAGAAAGCAGCAGATAAAGCCCTTTCCCTTTACGAGAAGATGAAAGAACTCAACCTAGCTTCAAATACTCTAGTAACTAACAACATCATGACCCTTCACTTGAAATTAGGCCAACACGAGAAAATCCCAACTCTATTTCAAGAAATGGAATCTTTGAAAATTTCTCCGGATAGAATCACTTATGGAATTTTGATGAGCAGCTATGCATCTAGAAACGATATCGAATCAGTTGAGAAAGTCGTGGATGAAATGAAAAGAGGAGGAAGGGTTGGTTTTGATTGGAGCTTGTGGTGTAATCTCGCTGGTTATTATAACTCGTCAGGATTTTTCGAGAAAGCTGAATCTGTTCTTAAGAATGCTGAGAAAATGATGCCTTCAGGAGATAGAGAAGCTTACCATTTTCTCATTACTTTGTATGCTGGTGCTGGTAATTTGTCAGAAGTTAAAAGGGTGTGGAGATTGCTCAAGGATTCATTTAGGAAGATGACTAATATGAGCTATTATCATATGTTTCACGCTCTTAAGAAACTAGGAGATGTTGATGAGTTAAAGAAAATCTTTGAAGAGTGGGAATTGCATTTTGATCATTTTGATGTAAAATTGGTGAATGTAGTGTTGGATGCTTATCTAGAAAAGGGTATGATTAAAGAAGCCGAAATTATATGGGAGAATGCTATATCCAAGGGTTGTGGATCTGATTTTAGGACATTTGAGCTTTTTGCTAAGTATTACTTGGAACAAGGTGAAAGGGATTTGGCTACAAAGTTGTTGGAGAGGTATGCTTGCATATTGAAACAAGAAAAAGGTAGGATCAATGAAGGAAAAGCAAAGAAGTTTATTGAACATCTTGTGGGAGTGAAGGATGTTGATGGGGTTGAGGCCTTTTGCAAGAGTTTTAAGGATCTAGTGTGTTTATATCCAAAGAAGAAATGTTAGCATTATTCCTTGTTAACCTGGGTCTGATGATTTAAGATTTGGGATAATGGTACTTGATATGGTATTTGCACATTTTCTGTTTGTTTTTTTTCTAGAAGACTTGTACAAATATGAATATTACCTGGAATCTGGATACTATTCTCTATTTAGTGTTAATACACTAATATCTATGCTTTAATTTGGACAGGTGAGTATGCATGGCTGCGTGTAGACTGCAGAAGTGTTGATAATTTATGCGGCAATGGAGGTTACTGGTAGTAAAAACAATCCAAAGTTGACTCTCGAAATATTTTCTGCAAGGGATTTACACTAAGAGTAACATATCAGTGACTTGTTGATACTGTGTTGAACATCAAACTTTAGCCTGCTTGTCTGGGGATGAACCATTTTTGATCGTGGGTGCATTATTTTGATTCTGGGTAAATCAACAGTTTTTATATCTTCATCATTTGGATTGAGCTATATGTTCGGTGCAATAAGGCATTATGCGCATATGACTAATATTTTATGAGGTTAATCGTACAGACTCTGTAGCGTCGTACTTTAAAACTTGTGACACTTCTAGTTTGATTTTTGAAACTTATTACACTTACAGTTTGATTTCGGCAGATAGACCCCTCAGTGAACTTTAGTGACTTCGGTCGAGGGTAAAAGAGTCGAGAATATTTAAAAGGGAGTCTATCTGCGAAAATCAAATAATAGAGTGCTTTTTTTTTAACTCTTAAAATTGTTAAAAAGATTTTGAGGAGGTGGATAGACCGTCTATAGTTCTTTTTTTTTCTTTGAACTTTTAAGAACAGAAAAAAGTTCCCTAAAGCGATGTATTCGCACAAATAGAACCACATAGGATCAATTTGCAATTAAGTAATACTACAAGAGGTCTATTCTTAATTAACCCGATATTATCTTATTTAATCTTTTACTTGGAGAAATCTCTAGGCGCATGACTCTATGTTCAAATAAATTTTCTTAATTACATTGCAGGATGCTCACCAAACGCGAGATTTGGTCGTTAACAATAACAGCAGATGAATTTTTTTTAACAATAAAAAAAATAACAACAATATTTGCAGCATTAATCTGAATAAACTCAAGGGCTACGAAGATTCATAAGCTCCATCAACTCACTGAAAATATAATAGAAAATAAAATTAAAATCAGGAGAGCAAGCATATTTCATTCATTACCTGAGCTCAGAGCAGCGTCCCCGAAGTGGCACAGCTGTAGTTACAGCATCTTGACGGGGGGCAACATGGTCATTGACAAACCCCCGCTCCGCTCACCGCTGCGCTGCTATAAAAATCCCCATTATGGCGGGTATCGGATAAATACACTTCTACAGAGAGAGAGAGATGAAGAACTCAGAGAAAAAGATAACTTTTGAGCAGTACCTCCAATTTTATCAATTTTCGTGGCTGTCCAATATCTCTAGATTCAGCCTCAATCAGGTATCGATTTTATCAATTTCCCCCTTTTTTTATTTTTACACTTTTCACCTTCTTCTTCTTCTTTTTTTTCAATTCTATTTTCAGATCATAGAGATGCACGGCTTCATCAAGCTCCACTTGGAACGCAAGGTTTCCCCATTCTCAACCCTCTTTAATTTTTTTTTTCAATTTACCCCCTCATTTCACCCCCCTTCTTTGCGTTTTTAGCATCGTCTTCGAGAATGCTTGGAAGCGATCGATCTCATGGAACCGGCTCGATACGACTCTCGAGGATTTTCCTCAAGTCTCCTCCCGCGCTTTTCATTGAGCAGCGAGAGATCGTGAACGATCTCGAGGACCGAATCGGATGGAGCCGAGAGCGGACCTCCTCTCGCGCTCGATCACAAAACCCTAGAATCTGACGCCGATGCGCAGAGCTCATCGTCGCCGACGGGCGATTGCCGTTTGCCACGTCAGCGCAGTGCTCGCCGGACGAGGGCGGCGGATCCGCCGGCGGAATTCAGTGATCGTCGGGAACGAGCCTGCGAGCGGTCGAGAGAAGAGGCTTCGGTTGAACGCCGCTGATGAATGCGACTGGCTGCTGCCTGTCGTTGGATCGTCCGTCTAGTTCGTCTCCGTCGATCGATGCTTCGAATGACGGTGACGAGCATCTTTCGCTTCGAGGCCCCCGCCGCCGTCTTCCGTGGAAGCCGCCGACGACTCCGCCGCCGCCGTTTGGATTCTCTTCGCTTGGGCCGATCTTTGGCCGTTTGATGCTCCTGTGGGTTTCTGCAGAGATGCCTGCGCGCCTTTTCTGTTATTTTTTGACGTTTTGTTACGGAAGCTTAGGCCCTTCTGTTGGTTGTTAATTACGAACTGGCCACTGAAGCCACGGCGCCCAATTATTTCTTGAAGAAAAAAAAAACGTATAGAAAATCATATATATATTCCTTTATATAAGAATAACTGTTTATGCTATAGTAAATACTATAGTATTATTTACTGTGATAATATTATTGTAGAAAACAGGATACTGGTTACTGTGGTACTTTTAAAAAAATTGTTATAGCTCACGGGAATACTGTAGCATTTTTTTAAAAAATATAGCAGAGGAGGGAACGGTAGCAGTTTAAAAAATTACTGTAGCATTAAAATCAGGATTACTGTAACGAGAAAAAAATGATATGCCGTGCTTTACATGGTGTTCACGACTAGTATGTAGTAGAAGAGCAGAAAAGATTTGTCTTTTAGTATTAAATTTAAAATCACTTCAAAATGATATGTAATGTCGTCCGTCTCGGAACATAGATATTAGTATAAAGTAGTAAAACATCAGTAAGATGGATGATAATAACGCCGTATCAATATAAACAGTACAGAAATCAGTGCAATCATCAACTTTGAAAGGTAGAGTATGGTGCAATTTTTTTTATCCTATGATATTCTATAAAGGACGGCACGTGATTTTTTCCCGTCTATTTCACGGTTACCGATACAAAAAGACTTGAAATACTAACTAGTTCTGATACATTGAGAGACAATTTATAAGGCATAAGAAATTATACTTGAGTTTTGTACGGCGTTCAATTTTAATCATGATCGTCTGATAATGTTGTACGGATGTGATTCACTTACAACATGATCAGTGTTGTTTTATTTATGAATTGCACTTGTTTTAACTTCGGCTAAATTATCAAATTGGTATATTTTGTTTGACCTATTTACCAAATTGGTACATTCACCTACTCCAGCAACGACAAGGTATATAAAGTGAGAATCAGTGACGATAATGTATAAATTGCTGGCCAGAGTAAATATTCGGCGACTTCACATCACATGACGGACCATGTGAGTTTGATGTGTGGCTCCTTTGGGATGACGACCGACATGACAAAGTTGACAAGGAGTTTTTCTTCAAAGTAGGGCTCAATCGAGTGGTGCTTTTTGGCTCGCGGTTGGGCAACTTGCGCCCAACTCGTGAGAGATGAGCAGGGGGTGAGCCCCACAGCTTGGGGTTTTCAAATTAGGTCTTATTCTCCTTCCTAGGATTAAAATTGGCATTCTCCGTTGGAAGTGGACAAGAAATCTTCGAGCTCAAGCCCCAGTTTCAACGGAGAACACCTTATTTTAAAGGAGGAGAATAAGACTCAGAGCCCCTTCAGCCCTAACTTGAGGGAATCTTTTTAACTATTTATTTAAAAAAGATCATAATAAATCCATTCAATGATATAATAACTGGAAGAAAAACAAAATCTCAATAGCGAAGAGAATCCTAGCCCGCCGGTATGAACGTTCCTGTGTAAGCGCCTGTTTGGCTATTTCCACAAAAAAACCGAAAATGGAAATGTCACTCTTGAAAACATTTTAAGACATTTCCAAGTTTTTTTTTTGTTTGTTTCGCAAAGAAAACTCTCATTTTCACTGCCAACTCACACAAACAAACAAAAAAAACCTTCATAGTAACAGTGCCTAAGTTTTATTTCTTGTGTTTGTTTGAGAACAAGAAAAAAAAATAAGAAACCTCTTCTTTAAATAATACGGTTTATTCTTCTAAACTATTCAAACAGTTTTTTACAAATAAAAAATTCTTAGATGGGGCATTTCCAAGTGTTTTCAGCCCATTCTGTTGTGAAAACACATTTCTTAAAATATTGAGGTGACATGCTACGTGACAGTTCATTTCTCAAAATTTAAAAACGAAACAAACATGTGAAATGTAAATACCTTGAAAACAAAAACCCATGTGATACATGAGGCTTTTCTTGAAAGGTGAGGTGACAACACATTTCCTCTTTTTTTTGAGCAAACAAACATGCCCTAAAAGGAAAATATAGCAGGATTACATCAGAAACAAAACGAAAAACTAAAGACGTCAAGAGATGCAAAAGAAACTCTCGAGGAGAGATGAGTAGAGATCACACGTACTCGGCAATCTTAATCACAAGCTTATACCTGGAGAGTTAGCAAATTTAGCCTGAAGCAACTATACCCGAAAAAGATACCTCGTAATGAGAGCTTGATAGAAGCTTGTTAACTAAAACTATTACACAACATAATAATAAGGTAATGCAAAAGGAAGCAGCTGCCAGCAGAAGCAAGATCTGAAGAAAACATGCAGTTGAGCGGGGGCAAAAAAAATATAAAGTTTGAAATATTATCGATCACACTCCTCCAAGGGCAACGACAACAAATAACCTGAATCACAGTGAACTCAATCACCATCAAGATGGTCCTTTCTAGTTTACAAATACTGAAGTTGACAACCATTTATCGGTAACACGGCTAAATTATGGAACTGCGCTTCCATGGCGTTTTAGCTGTAACAACAACAAATTGAGCATGAATTTTAACTTATTTTAACAGAAAACCATAATCCAAAGAACATATCCATCTTCTGCACCAATTTTGCTGCAGAACCTTCTGTCCTAGCTTTCCTTATGAAGAATCTGAGGCAAAACTAATGTTACAACCCAAATGATATGGACGTAAACTTAATTTCCTCCCCAACGCCGTTTTCTTGCAGGTCTTTGCTGTTTAATTTCATCAGATACAACTGAAACACCTACCTTAGGATCAGTATTCTTGGGACCGAAGCTCTTTTCAAGCCCTTGCTTTGAAGCAAATGGCTCTTTGAATCGTTCCTTGCGCTTTTCCATCTTAGCTAGAGTTTGAAGTATACGATTATTGTCATAAATATCAGCAATCTTACCAACTTCTTCCAAAATTTTCCCAGAATTCCAATCCTTTTTTAATGAAACAACATTTCGTTTGTCCGACTCTTCTATCAACTCTCCCTCCTCGATCTCATTATCGTCATCATTTTGTGGGACATGAAGCTTGTCGAGGGAATCCTTAGTTTTATACCCCCTTAGTCGAGTCTGATGACTGTGGTTACCTGCAGCTTTTGATATATGTGGGTAAATCTCCTCTTGTTTGTATGTCTCCTTAACTTTCCTGGAGTTCCTCACTAGGCTATCTTTGTAGCCTATACCAATGGCTTTTTTGCTTTCCGCAGTTACTCCAATGCCTCTTCTGGCCAGCTGCAGATAGTGGATATTAAATGAAATAAAAAAAAGTTAGGAAACATCAAAAAAAATTAACATTCCATAATACTTGATTTCTACAGAACATATGGCTTCGAGAAACTATTGTGGTTCAATTGCAGAATATACAATGAAAAGCATAGATAGTCCTCAGAATTGTAATCTGGTTCAATGGCAGTACACAATAAACAACATAGATAGTTTTGGTGCATAAAGCTAGAGTTCAACTCCAATAAAGCCTGTCGAAGAGCAAATGCATGATACAAAAACAATAACATAAAAACCAGTTTCCTTAATCAAATAATTATATTTTTATCATTTTCCTATATGGTACATTAATCGACCTTTGTTCCCCCATCTCCAAAACATTTCAATCAATTCTCTCTCACTGTGCACTATAGGAACAACATCTAACTTCACATGAATGCGCTCGTTTCTTATTTTATCCAAACATCTAACATACCATTCACATCTACAGTAGCATCCATGATGGATATGCCCTTCAAATATGATTGGCTATCCACTGACATGTTCAAGAATACCAAGGCAAGAGTAAATAAAGAAAAGAAAACATGAATTAAAGTACAGAACATATGAATTAACCAAGAAACAAAATTCATGGAGTGAGGGAACACAAATAAGAATCTCATAACATAACCGGTGTAAACCTTCAGTATGCTCTACGTTGTTTAGTAGCAAACACCCTCAACATACACTTAGCAGTAGATCTTATGGAGCAACACATCTTTCCCAACTTAATGTCACTGGCATGCAAAGAGATATCCAGTATGCTTATCCAGTAATAGATCTTAAAATATAATATACACCTGCTTCAAGGTCATGCACATGCAGAGATTAGTTTTACATGCAGGTGTATATTATAACGAAATTCCATCTCCAAGATATTGACATGTGGTGAGACATTCAAGAAAAAAAAACAACAGTACTGATAGGGGGAACAATGAAGCATTGCCTGTTGGTATAGAGATCATTGTTGGGGTTGGGAAAAAAAATCACAGGTGAAAATGGCAGACGTAAGAAATATCTGTTGGCTGTGTATAGGAAGGGGAATGGTTCATTGTTACTAATGGTCTAACACTAAAAAGGTAACTGAAATAAGATAATGAGAAATTACAGAAATAAATAAAATAAGAGAAGAAGAAAGACTTCTATCGTAAACTTGTTCTTTAAAGAAATATTGAACAAGCCTTATGAAACCAATATTGAAAACGCGTAGCAGTATATTGACAAACCTACAAAACAATCCAGAAAATGCATATACCCCCCTGGAAACGTAGCACACATATATGAAAGAGCAACAAAAAAAAGTCATCGAAAGGTTATATATAAAAAAAAGGTAAAAAAAAAGAAGGATACATCAAAGCATATATAAAACCATACAACATGAAGAAATATCAAACTTATGCATCTCCCCTCAATGTCTTAGATGGCTGATCAATCTATCAAAACAATTAGATGGATGAAGGATCCAACTTATACATCTACTGCAGTTTCCTTGAGTGACTGATCAAGAAATCATCTGAATCATCTAGTAGAAAAGTGTTCTGAAAAAGTAATTATGCAGCTTCATAATAATCATCAACAATGAGCTACACCAGTCTTTTTTACCAGTAAATTCCTTCAAACTATACTCAACAGACTTATTAGATTTTGGCACACCATCAATGGAACTCTACATGGGAACTCACTTCATGTGGCTAAAGTAACATTGTAAACAATTGCTCAATAAATCTTTATCCAAAATGAGTTTTCTTACTTTCTTCTTTGTTTTTGGTTGGGAACTACGAGACAAATGAATCTGATGTATGGTGTATACAGTATCAATATACAAAATTTGAAGCGCAAGGTAAAGTGACCATGACATAGTCATCATAGATAAATATCTATTCATGCCATAGTCATCATGGATAAATATCTATTCCATAAGATTGTCAATTATCTGCCAAGTATAATAAGGTAGTAGTATAATATCGTAAAACAACAAAATAATGTTCTTCATGATTGCAAGCTCGGAACCACTAATACATATTTTATGAAATTGAGTCTTCTATAATATCCATGTCTCTGTAGTTCCTTGAGGCAAGAAAGATCTAAATTATACTTAGGAATCTGCATCCTGATTAAGAGGAGATGAAGAGATAATACAAAGTTTCATATAGATTTTCAAACCCTTAAGTTACACATCAAAGTCAACATTCACCCAAAAGTTATGATTGACTAACCCTACTATTTATCAATCATGAAAATTGAGCAAAACATGCGCAGGATATTCACCAAGTAAGCACTATAATTCTCATACCACCTCTGAATTGTAAGTGTTGCATGAGGAATCTAATGTGCATAACTATATTCTATAGATACACTAGGGTAAATACATAAGAAGGGTAGAAAAGAAATCAAAACAGTGAAAAACAACTTTTCGTTTAGAGAAATGTATTACTGGACCATCACTACACCATCACATGAAAGGCCACACAATCATATGCACATGTTTAGGTTCAGGAGAACCTCAGTTGATCTGAAATGCAAAGTTTCTATTATGATTTCTGGCTTTCATCGAAAGCATTCAAAATTCTGGGCTATACATAGTACTATTGTGATAAAATGAAATGGATATTTTAGGCTTTTAGCTTAGTGTTTCTTTTCGAGACTGGAAATCATCCAATCCAAATGTCAAAACAGTGTGTCTAACCTTCAAAAGAAGGATAAAGTAGTTAGGTGACGTCCCCACTGCTCATGGCCTTTCAAGGATTCAGCGTATTACCAAAGTAAACTGCAATAGTAATTAAAGCATATAATGTTCTAACAACTATTTTAAACACGATATATTGCAGACTGCAAACCATAGAACATAAAAAGATTTACTTTGGAAAGAGAATAGTAGGTACAATCAAAGATATGGAATTACTAACCAGCTTAATCAACAAGACAATATTGAAAGTAAAATCAGTCAACAACAAACGGTGTAGAACAACCTGACACCAAGAAGAAACAGAAATGATGAAACCTTACCCAGACATGTTTTTCAAATCTATCTAAAATAAGTACACTAAGGAGATGCAAGGAGATATACACTAAAACTCAATAATCAAACAAACAAAGCTTAGCATCAAGAAATAAAACTAGACCTTATTCCTATTTGAGAAGATGAGCAAATTAAATTCCAGAGTGGCAATATAAATTTGTCCAGTAATGTATGTGCATAAGTTACATGTTACGTCAAAGAGTAATAAAAAACTAACATCAACTATCGTATAATGAAAATGAATAAATTTGACAAGTCATATAAGCCTCAAATACCTTTAGCAAAAGGAGAGAAAACATCAAGATACTGTTCAATATCAAATTGAACAAGAATGATGTAAAGAAGATTATAAAGTAAGAAATGTGTCATAGAGAAATCAAGAACCAACATCATCTATCATATAATGAGAGCCATGACTTTGACAAGTCAATTATAAACTGTCATATACCTCCACCAAAAGAAGAGAAAATGTGAAGATGACATTTCAACAAAAATCAATAGCTCAGACTAGCAGCTAGGGGGGCAATTGCATCCCATGTCAATGTTTACTGTTTTCATATCAAATGGGGACATTATAATGATTACATCAGTTCCTCCCACGAATAATTGAGATAGCCTCTTTGTCGAGGAGGGTAATGATAACAGAGTCCTGATATTTCTCAACCAAAAAAAGAAAGATTTGTGTAAAACTAGTTTGAACAAAAACAACCTCTTGCTCCAACTAATACCTAGAAATAAATATGACATAATGTAATCTGAAGAGAAATTTTTACCCCACCATCAATGTTTAACACATGTTTCCACGTGAGATGAAAATATGATAGCAGTCACTCCCACCAGGAACAAGAGTAGTCTTCCTTCACACGGTGAGCTAACAATGAGACCACCATTTCGAGTAGGAAGTTTCTTACTGAATGTAGTGTGAAAAACTAGATTCCACTCAAACAAACATCATTTGAAACACAGCACAAGTGCATGCATGTGTGCAAGAAAGCATATACATGGGCCGTAATGGTATAACACACACAAATGCATTCATCGAAATGAGTTTTATTTTTTTATTTTTTTATATTAGACAACATATCAGCATATATCACACAAAGTTCAGGCCGGGATTGACCCTCAACCACAACCATGCTAATGTTACTACACTGCATATTTATTTTCCATTGTTAAGCCCCCCTACATTCTCATAGGTATATGCACGTAGATTATCAAAAGGTGGTTTTCCTATGAGACTAGTGACTGACGAACCTCACCAACAAGCCAACAAGTTAACAGAGCCCCCC